ACTAACTGCTGCTGTTCTGCACAGATCTTCTCCAAACCAAACCAACCTTCAGAAGAGACTGCTCTGGAAGTTCCCCGCTGATCACCTACATCCTGCTGGGGATTTGCTTCCTCATGTGCGGCGTGTTCCTCACCCTGGCCCTCATGAAACGTGAGTGTGGGACTGTCAGGAGTGGGGTGGCCCAGGCTGGACTCTCTGCACCAGGAAGACGCTTCGCTCATTTCATGGGACCGGGGCTGCTCAGGGATTGCCCACGGAGGCTTTGGCTGGAAAAGCGAGGTTTTGGTTCAGCACAGGAAAGGAGGGTTTCAGAGAAAACCCAAACCCTGGAAATACAGCCCCAAGGCCCCAAAAGAGCTGAGTTCAGCAGCCACCTGTCCCATTCTCCTCTCTGGGCTGGGCTCCTTAGTTGGACTACATCTCCCAGGATGCACCACTGCCAGGGATTCCCATAGTGCACTGCCTCCACTTTCCAAGAGGAGAGACTGCAGTGCATCATGGGAGAGAGGTGCCCCAGTGGTTCCCAAACTTTCGGCATCACGCCCCCTTTTTGATTTTTAGAGACCCTCATGCCCCCCCCCCCCCAAAAGGAATTGACTGGGGCAGCAAAACTTGAGTTTCTTCACGCCTCCCCAGGGGGACACAACCCCAGTTTGGGAACCCATGGTAGGGCAGACTCCCTGGTTGAAGCATTAACATCTCTATGTGCTGTGCCATGGCTTCCCCTCTTGGAGAGGGTGGGCAGTGCATCATGGGAGCTGAAGTCTTGGTGGGGAGTCCAGTCCCTACAGAGAAGTGGGTGTGAGATAATCAAACTACAACTCCCATGAGGTGCCAGGGCAGAATATGCAAATCAGTTTTTCAGTATTTAGCTTTCCACTAGAGGGCAAAAAAGTCAATTTCCTATGAATTTTAGCCAAAAAATAAGGGGTTTTGTGTGCAAGTGTTTGTAAAAAATGTCTGTAGGACAAGGCTGGCATTATGGCAAGGCACCTGGACTTGGGCATCACCAAATCTGAAGGGTGTGGGGGAAAAATCTCCAGCAACTCTGCATCACAATACCCCTTTGGCTCTGGAGCTAGAATCCGTATCCCAAAAGTGGTAGGCTCCTATTCTGCTGTACCTGGCCCTGATGGAAATCAGGTGTCACTCCACTGAAATCAGTGGAACGGATGTGCTATTAGTGTGACTGGAATCCAGCCCGGGGAGCAGGAAGGGTCTTTGCCCCGAATGGAAGAGGCCCAGCCTGCAAGGGAAGCACTCGGCAGGGCTGGAGTGGAAAGGATCAGGACCAGGCTAAGCAGAAGGAGAGCCCAGAGCAGTAGAAGGAGCTGTACCAGTAACGGAGTGACTCTGGATTTACTCCACTCAGCACCTGGGCTATAAACATGAGGAGTTATCACCTAAGAGTATCGGGAGAGGGGGGCTATGAATTGTGCTGCCAATTCTCACAGTATTTGGTGATTTTCCTTAAAGTCCCAGCCCTTGGAGTTCTGGGATGATGGGAGCCCTTTAGCCCATTTCAAAACAAACCAATACATGTCTCACCCCACGGCTGGGAAAGGAAGAGCTGGAGAACAAACTCCCTAAGGGGACTTGGTGTCAGACCCCTAGCCCCTGCTCTTCGTCTTTCTTGGCTATGCAGGGTGTAAGCTCATCAGGGCAGGAACTGTCTATTCTGTGTTTGGACAGTGCCCAGTCCCACAGGGCGCTGATCTTGGCTGGTCCTTGGGTAGTTCCTTCGCACACACGAACGCTAATAGCTCAAGAGACAAGGGCTATGCAGGGTGTAAGCTCATCAGGGTGTAAGCTCATCATTCTGTGTTTGGACAGTGCCCAGTCCCACAGGGCAGACAAATGGATCCCCAACATTGTTTTAAATTAAGTCTTATGGGGGATGAGGCTGAGGATGTGCGTGGGATTCATAACTTTCTGAGCACCTGGCATTGGAGAAACTGCCAAAAGCAGCACCAAGTAACTCCCCTTCCTCCCCATCAAACCGATTCCCCGGGCGTGGGAAGAAACCAGGCCATTTGGGGCTGGGGCAGTTCCTGGTGTAAAGGATGCCCAGGTAGATCACAGCTCAGCTCTTTGCTCTTGGTTCTTCTCCCAGGTCCTGAGCTGCAGCAGGAGTTAGAGGAGCTGAGCTTTCATCTTCCCCAGATGACAACTAATGGTAAGTAAAATGCTCCTGATGTAGCCCAGCATGCTCGCCTCTGGCCGAGCAGAGAAGCCGTCCGGGCGGGTCTCAGTAGCTGATCATTTTGCTACAGTTTAATTGTTTGCAGCCTGCAAACAGACTGATTCTGCCAGGTTGCACCAGTGTAAATCCGGACTAACTGCCATGCTGGTGATCCGAATCCAGCGCAGAGTCGGGAGTCCACTGGCCCAGGGTGAAGGGTGGGCTTGTAATGTACGTTACACACAAGTTGAAGCCTGAGTTTGTAAATTTCCACTGGGTTTCAAAAAGAGGCTCCCCCCCCATTTCCCCTTCCACTTTAATCAGCTCTAGCTGCTAGTAGACTATTTTCCTCTAAGGCCCCACCCCTATTACTTGCTCTTTTCCCTCCTCCTCACCTCCTGTGGTTTACTAGATCCTTTCCAGGGCCCAGGTGCAGGCCGGAAGGCCGTTCCAGCTAAGCAGGGTGTGATGTGGGTTAATGACCCACTGCCCCTCCCTCGCCGTGCACTAATCAGGATTAGGGTTTGGATGCCATTAGGGTAGCCAGGTCCAGAAACCCGACATAGCACCCAGCCACAGAAGTCAACAACCAGATAAGGGTGGGGCCTTAGAGGAAGAGATGGAGCAATGGTGGGCCCTCGGGGAAGAGGTGGGGCAGGGGGACGGAGCCATGGGGGTCCATGTACCAACCATTAGAAATGTAACAAGGCAAATATTGGTGGATGAGAGGAAGTGGATGAGACTTTTTTAAAACAACAAAATCATTCAGAGCAGAGGAATCGGACTGTTAGGGGACTTCAATTACCTGGACGTCTGTTGGGAAACTCACCCAGCAGGGCATAGATTATCCAACAGGTTCTTGGAGCACATTGGAGACAATTTTTTTATTTCAGAGGGCAGAGAAAGCTGTGCGGCGGCGGGTGGGGAGGGGAGGCTGTGCTAGGTTTGAGTTTGACAAATAGGAAGGAACTGATTGAGAATTTGAAAGTGGAAGGCAGCTGGGGTGAAAGCGATACTGAACTGATAGAGTTCCTGATTCTAAAGAACAGTATGAGGGAGGAGAACAGCAAAATAGAGACAATGGATTTCAAGAAGGCAGACTGTAGTAAATTCAGAGAGTTGGCAGGAAAGGACCTATAAGAAGCAAGCCTAAGAGGAAAAACAGCTGAAGACTGTGTTTCAAAGAGACATTGTTAAGAGCATGAGAGCAAACCATTCCATTCTGCAGGAGAGATGGGACGCAGGACAAGATATGGCATAACCAGGAAATCTCGAATGCTCTAAAAATAAAAAAAAAGAGTTCTGCAAAAAGTAGAAACTAGGTCAAAGTTCAACAGTTGGATCTAAACCAATAACATCAGTAAGTAGGGTCACAATTAGAAAGACCAAGGCAGAAAATGAACTAAAACTAGCCAGAGACATGCAGGGTACCAGGAAAACATTCTCCAAATACATTAGAAGCAAGAAGAAGACTAAGAATAGGGTACAACTGTTACTCAATGAAGAGGGAAAAACAGTAACAGAAAACGTGGAAACGGCAGAGGTGCTTAATGACTTCTTTGTTTTGATTTTCACCAAGAAGGCCGGTGGGGACTTACTGTCAACAGAACGGTAGTATAGACATAGGTATGCTTTTGTCTACAAAACCCTGTAGTCTACACACCCAGGCTACGTCTACACTGGCATGATTTTCCGGAAATGCTTTTAATGGAAAAGTTTTCCGTTAAAAGCATTTTCGGAAAAGCGCATCTAGATTGGCAGGACGCTTTTCCGGAAAAGCACTTTTTGCTTTCTTTTTTTTGCTGGCCAATCTAGACGCACTTTTCTGCAAAAAAAGCCCCGATCGCCATTTTCACTATCGGGGCTTTTTTGCGGAAAACAGTACTATGCTGTCTACACTGGCCCTTTTGCGCAAAAGTCTTTCGGAAAAAGACTTTTGCCCGAATGGGAGCAGCATAGTTTTTCCGGAAAAGCACTGATGATTTTACAGTAGATCGTCAGTGCTTTTCTGGAAATTCAAGCGGCCAGTGTAGACAGCTGGCAAGTTTTTCCGGAAAAGCGGCTGATTTTCCAGAAAAACTTGCCAGTCAAGACACAGCCCCACAGTGTGGTTAAGCACTGGAATAAATTGCTTAGGAAGGTTGTGGGCTCTAGATCACTGAAGATATTTAAGAGCAGGTTAGACAAACATCGATCAGGGATGATCTAGATGGCGCTTGGTCCTGCCATGAGGGCAAGATACGGGACTTGATAATCTCTCGAGGTTCTTTCCAATTCTCTGAGGGTGCATCTACAAAGCAGCTTAAACTTGATATAAGATACACAATTTGCATAGCACAAATTGTGTATCTTATTTCGATTAGATTTGAAAATTGGCTATTTCGAAATCTGGTGCGTCTACACAGCATCAAATTTCGAAATAACGTGCTATTTTGAGACATCCCTTAACCTCATGGAACAAGGGTTACTGGGTTGCCGCATGAGCGCACCTGTTTTTTAAAAAAATATTTCCAAATAACAGGTGTCTTGTGTAGTTGTGGGGTCACTATTTTGGGATACCTCCAGTCTCCTGATATAGCCGTGCAGTGTAGACACACCCCAATTCTATGAATGGCGTCCCTGGATGCTTTTGACGGGCTGCTTTGGCATACCTGTTTGAAAATGGCTGCCTTGGGAACTCACACAATGCTGCCCCTCAGCAACCAAATCTCAGTTACCAAATTAACCGTTGGAGGCTACAGCCGTCCCCTCATGGTGAAGATGGGCTCTTTACACTGCCTGCTTGTTGTGACCTTTCCCTTCTCCTGAGCCCAACGACCTTTCTGTTTGCAGTGTCCCAGCAGCTAGCGGAGGCCAGACAGGACAGGGAGAAGATCCGAGCAGAGGTTATGGTGCTGCAGGGATCTGTAGGTGAGAGACTCATTGAGAGACTTCTGCCTCTTTCTGTGGTGAGAGTGAGGGGCTGTGAGGTCAGGCTGGGGGGTTCTGTGTCTACCTGGGACTGTGAACTTGGGCAAGTTTTTTATTGGGTGTTTTATGGTAGCTCCTCAGAGCCTCAGCCAGGGCTCTCGACCCCAGTGTGCTAGGTGCTGTACGTTATTGGGTGTTTTACGGTAGCTCCTCAGAGCCTCAGCCAGGGCTCTCGACCCCAGTGTGCTAGGTGCTGTACGTCATTGGGTGTTTTATGGTAGCTCCGAGGAGCCCCAGCCTGTCCAAACACAGACCAAAGCAAGTCACACCTCTGAACCCAGATTTCCATGGCACGGAGGGTCCGTAGCTGCTCAGGGGCTCTGCTGAAGTGGGTCAGCTGAACTCTGAGGGGAGAGCTTTGATGGTTCCATCCTGGGATCTCCAGAGCGACCCATTTGTAAACCTGCACAGGAAACGGTTTTGATATTAACTCTCGAGGGGCTGGTGCAGCTGCCCAGAGCAAGCCCTGCGGGAGCCCTGCTTGGGGTCTGTGCGGGGGAGTTTCACTGGCTTTGGCTGCTAACCCCCTTTCCTCTTCCCCACCAGACTTTCAGCGTCTTTCCCTCTCTGAGCAGCTGGCTGCTGTGAAGAAATTTCACCGTGAAATCCAGGCGCAGATCGCAGCTTTGCAGAAAACAGTCGGTGAGGGGCAGGATGCCCGTGGCTGCCCCCGCCCTGGGGCCTCAGTTGGAGGGAGGCAGCTGCTCATGGGAGCTCTCAGCACACGGCAGTTCCCATTGCTCTCGGGGGGTGGGGGGGGTTCTCCCATTCTCAAAGGGGGGGGG